CGGGGCATTTCCAACCGACAAACCAAAGTGTCAGCCTATACACTATATGAAAAAGCCGGGCGTGGCTATTGTAACGCACTTAATTGTTTACAAGATGTTTAAAATATCATTACTGTCTGATTAAAGAACATATCACAATGAACAAAAATTTGAAAGTTTCAATGCTCTAACATTTAAGGACCAAAAATTACAGTTGTTTGAAACTGCAAAGGTTTGAGTGAAAAAAAGTATTGAGACTTTACCAGCCTCATTTTGATGTGTTTAGTAAAACTGAAATGCAGATATTCAACATTTGAAACTAAAACTCCTACAATTTACTAGTTTAGATATACTCTTTCCCAGTCTCTGCTCGTTTTTTCAGGAATATATGTTATTAAAAGTACTTCTGATGTAACAGTTTGCTAACTCATCACTGACATGTCAAGTTGTAATGAATGGTTCTCTTTGCTTTTGGCAATTAAAATTCTGGTGAAATTTCTCGCTGTTTCATTGAGGGAAAAACTGTATAAAACATGTTATGACTTAATCATTACCAATACAAACCTGCTACATCGCCGCAGTATCGCAAAGAACATGTTGGTGTTCTGTCAAGCTCATAAACATAGTAAGCACCGCAGTTTTTGACTTGAATTGTGTTGCTCCAGTGGCAGCAGCTAGAGAWCCAGTGATAGCAGACCGTTCGATTCACTGTCCCCTCGTGTACGCTTGGGTGTGAACCATTCATCCAACCTGGTGCGTCTGTACCGCAATGATATTGAGGAACGCATGATGTTGCTATGTGTGTTCCTGCTGCACCAGTAAAACGATACCAGCCTTTGGACAAGTTGCCATCACATCCAGTCGTAATTGAATTATGATATCTTGATCGGCGATAATAATTCAGCTCTGTGTAATTGCTGCAGGCATCTGATGTAAAAGAAAATCAGACACACAAAAAAAGAATTAAACTTTTATAATCAAAGAAATGAAAGTGAATTAAGTAATTACAACTAGACGCTCATGGAGCGTTAACATGGGCTTCCTGTAGTAATGTTAATCAGGTGGCTGCCGTGAAGTAGCGCCAAGGAATTTTTTATTGTCGCGAGATATCTTAGCTAGTTTAAATGAGTGAACACATTTACCGTGTTGAACGGCAGTAAAACAGTGTCAATAATGTGGTATAACGAGGTTTAACGGGGGTAAAACATTGTTTTCGTGATTTCCATCTTGTGACGACCTTCAACATAAAACTACATGCTTATACAAATTGTAAATAATAAAATATCACAATAACTAAACGATTCGATGAAGTGACAATAGTTTGAGTGTAATTGAATCCTAATACTGAACCCTTAATATTAATACTATCAAAAGGCTAAAGAAAAAA